GTTCCTGCTGGCCTCTGTGCGGGGTAAGGAGAAAGCCAGGGTGTCAGACAGGAGGCAGGAGATGGCCCAGGACCACATGAGACTGTGCAGGTGTAGAGAAGTAGCTGGATTCAAAAACATCTGAAGGTGGGGCCACAGAATGTGCTGCAGGACTGGTCGGGGGAATAAGGTGAAGAAATGAGGGCCCTTTGACACCTACCTGTTTTCACCTGTATACCTGAAGGTCAGATCAGGCTGGTGGCTGCCTAGCTCCTGCAGAGCCCACACTGATGCCTGCACTCTGCACCTCAAAGGCTAGGGGTTAACATCCCGGGTGGGGGTAAAGGAGGGCACAGGTGGTGGGAGTCCTGGGGACTGGGATGGGTGCTGTCAGTGCCCTCGGTGATGGCTGGTGGGGGCTTCAGGCAAAGGGCCCATCAGTGGAGAGTGGAAGGTCACCTGGGTGGTTCCAATACAGCCTGGTCTTGACCCAGCCTCTGAGTACCCGCCCCCCCAAGTGGGCACCCACTCCCTTGGCCTCCCCACAGCCTGTGTTAACCTGCTGCAGGGGAGTCCTGCCAGGTCTTCAGGGTCATGGAAGCCCATCAGGTGGTCTTCAGACATGGCCTAACCTCTCAGGCCCCTGGCCCCTCCTCCAGGGGACCCCGACGCCTGCAAGCCACCTCACTTGAAACCCCTGAATCCTGGGTAGGTGGGGAGGAGCGAGCCTGAGCCCACACTCGGGTCCCTCGTCCAGGAACCCTGGGTTGGCGGGCAGATCTTCATCGGGTGTTTCTTCACCCTGGAGTGGTCAGTGTCCTCGGGAAGGAGAACAGAGGCCTTCATTTGCCGCAAACCTACTGGCTGTAGCGAGACGCTGGGTGCACCGGGTGCATGTGCTTGGCTTCAGGGAATGGTGCGGTCTGAGGGTGGAAGGCTGGGAGGAAAAAGTGCCAGCTCGCTGTGCCTCCTTGCCCCTTGCCGAGGGCAAAGCATAGGGGAGGGTGGGGCGGGGGGGAGAGCCCTGGAGTCTCTGCGCCTGGGTTTCCTCCGCTGGAAAATGGGGCCGAAAATGGGTTTCCTCTGCTGCAAAATGGGACGCAACGCGACAACACCGGGACTTCTCCGCTGGTGGTCCCTGCCGCTGCCTCTGGGCACCCAGCACCTGCGTGCCCCCGG